ACCCAAAAATCTCGAAAACGACGCGTTCTGAGAAAACTTATTTCAGACAAAAGTTCTAGGTACTAGCAGGGGTTAAACAACAGCGACCTTGAGTTTGACCTTTAGCACTCAACTGTGGTGTTAGGCTATGTGATCACTGGTCAGGCAACCTATCTGTGGTGTCAAATTTGGCTGTCTGATTCGGATTTGGCTGCCTAACTGTAGTGTCACGCCCATTAGCAAGAGAGATGCACTTTAAAAAAATGTTCTAAACAAAACTTACGAATTTTCTTACGAGGAATACGAATCCATAATAAAAAATATGGATTCTCAAAACAAAAACTGAAGCGTACTTCGATTTGACCTTGAAAATCAACCTGAAGGTCAACCTCAAGGTCACTGTTGCTTGACCCCTGCTATTATCTACAATTTTTGTCTGAAATATTTTTTCTCAGAACGCATTGTTTTCGAAATATTTTGGGTGGTTTGTTTAAAATGGGATACCCTGTATAATAAAAAATCTTTTACTTTTAAGTGTCAATCTTATAATTTTTTCTAGTATTTTACAATTGTGTGAGTGTGTGAGTTCTTAATGGTTAGTAAGCAAATTAAATTTGAGTTCAAATTAAAATAAAAAAATAAGAAATATGAATTTTTTTCTGGACCTCGTTAAAAATTTTCAAAAGTATCCGGACCCCAACTAAAATTACTTGCCGACCCCTGGTATAGAGTTTCAACGTGAAAGTAACCTTAAATATTTTCTCAAGTTTGAAATTTTAAGAAACGTTACCTATTTTGCATAATAAACTGTATGATGTGAAGATGTTTAGGTCGCAACTCTTCTGGATTACTAGCAAAATGACATGAAATTGCACTTTCATGTCCAGTATATGCTATGATTTCGTCAATCTTTCTCCCAAGTGACGTCACGACATGCGCGTAGGAACGCCATATTATATTTACACAGCTGCATATGGGTTTTTAAAATAACAATTTTGTAGAAAACGGTTGTCAAATAGTTGGGGGTTGTTAAGAAGCAGAACTGAATTTGATTGATGAAGAATCGGCAGCACTAAATATGTATTACTTTGCTTTTAAAATTATATATTATTTTATAAATATTACTTGCACCTATTTTACCGCGGAATTTCCCACGTATTACATTTTCTCGTTGGATTCTGGATTAAAAAAAAATGGGAGAAAGTTCTGCGTGTTTGGCACATATTTTGTTTACTGTTAAAGCCAATTTTAATTATAATTAATTAACCACATTCCGCCCTGCTATAGCAGCACAGTGTACTGAAGAAAAAACGCAACTTCAAAAAATAAATGGTTATTAAAAAAAATCCGTTCAATCCGGTATTAATTTAAAACAGTGGTTCTCAAAGGCGAAGAGTGGGTGACAGAGGATCGCTGAAGGTTTTAGAAAATATTTTAATATTCATTTATTTTATGTTAAAAAAGTCACCAGATATGTATTTTTTTGGAAACTGATTTCTTAAATCTATAGTTCATTTTTAAAATTTACTTACTGTCGGGATATATTTATTAATTCGCTTTAATTTAGTTTTTAGAGTAACAGGTTCGAAAATATGCAATTCTATAATTTTCAAATTCTAGGTTATTTTTTTGATCTATAACGGTCATCAATAACAAAGTAATTTCACACAAATATGAAGTTCCAGTGATGTCGAAAATGTATGTATAGATATTTTATCTAGCTAAGGGCACTCAGGTTTTTGAACTGTGAGAAAGAAAAGTCTTATTTTAACATTTTGCTCCCATTTATCTGGAAGAAAGCTCTGGTTTAGTTGGAATTTATGTCAAATTTCTAAAATTGTCAGTTTAAGCGTGTAGAGTCTAAAACTTGAATGTATCCTTAAATATTTTGTTAAATTTGAAGGAATACTTTTGGCTGTTATGCATAATAATAAAATGATTGACGTAATATGTTTAGGTTACAACTGCTTTGTATTATTAGAAAAACAACGAAAAGTTGCATTTTCGCGCCAATATATGTCAGGATTTCGTTAGTCTTTCTCTTAAGTGACGTCACCATATACGCGTGGGCATATTCACACCACGAATACCTAGGGACTTTATGTAGGTAATACAGGGCACTTAGCGTTCTATAATATTAAGTGTTGTTTTATGGTGGCGATAGTTTAATTTCGGATTAATATGTATTTTCCTCTAAAAAAATCGCCCTGTATGGGCGTTCGGTGCGATGTATCCATACGTAACGCTTCAATTTGCGGATTCGGAATCGAACCGACCACCGCGCGGGCGACTCAACCCCCTGGAGATCCCGGAATTTTGCGAATTAGAATATAATCATTAATCACGCAGCAGCGCGCCGGCAATTAGGAAAATTATCGAATTTGCAATCAGAACACATGCATACACATATATATCGCGATTATTGGCACATCAATCCGGATGGCGGTGGCGGCGGCAATATCCTAATTGTCACGCGGGCCATTTGTACGGCTGTCCGGGGACGGCGGGTACATTAAAGTTTGATCGCGATCGCGAACGTCCCCTGGAAGGCCGGAAAGGTGCCTCGTTCGACTCGATCGCAATCGGATTTGGCCGCAGGGCCGATGGGCAATAATCCGTATTTACACGTAAAGAAATGTTTCATGCAAATTTGATTATAGCACATATCATTATAGTCAAGTTTCGGTAGAAGCGGATATGTAGCTTTGTTTCCTCGTGCTTTATTGTTTCTATCTATAAAAAAATATATAAGTGTATAATAATACAAAACATTGAAGTTAATTTAATAAAACACACAATAGGAGTATAAACAAAATAAAGGTTAGCAAGAAAAAACATTAGGTAATAATTTTAATCTCTAAAGTAACTGATCAGTAAAAATACGATCGTATACTATTTCATTGGCAAACCTTGTTACCCATGCATTGTTGTCGAGTCAATTTAAAGGAAAGGTTATTAAAAATCAAATTTCCACACTATTCGCAGTGAAGTAATGCTCTGCGGCGCGTTACTTATAAGTACATATTACTATTAAGTAATCTAACAGAAAACTTAAATACTAATAAATGAATGATAAATAAAATACACAAAAATAAATAAAATGTTTACTGACCTGATTTTTATAACATTTGTGGCAAATCTTCGAGTACTGGTACCAGGATCCTTTTCCACAGCGTTTAAAATTTCTGGTTTTAAGTTTCCACTGTCCAAGTCTGTTCCCGTCCAACATTAGCGTAGTGCGTTCAAAACTCCCATAATCTCTTAAATGTCGAACCAATCTTACAAATATTTTCTTATTCGGTACTTGTAGATCAGGATAATCCATCTGACGTCGTCTTCTTGCAACAGTATCGTTTTCTTCTGACATAAAGTAGATTCTAACATTTCTAACCATATCAACTCTTACTTGATTCGTATAGATGCTTTTTCATAATATCGCACAAAAAACTTGAAAACGACAACATAGAAATGTTTGTTACATTTCTGAATGAAACGGTGATGACGTAATCGGCCTTTTCTATATACCGAATGAAGTGATTCAGCTTTTTACCCGTTTACCATTCCTTCATATCATACCAGGTATCAAGTCAACTGGCAAACGGCTTTTCAGATGCAACAATACGGCATTTTGGATGAACAGCGAAGGCTAGCTAATCTTCGTTGCCCTTTGTAATCATTCGGAACAGGATAAGATTCTGCTTAAATTTAAATTGTTTAAGATTTCATTTTGTTGCTGTTTAGTTTATTTTGGATTTATTTAATATGTTTGGCATGATTTGGCTGTTGAAGTGGCTGAATAAGAAAAAAGAGTAGAAATATACCGTTTATAATTATAAAACTTTTTATTATTTCTGTTTTAAGTTTCCTAAATGCGTCCCTATCTATTTTACTCGATTACAGCCATTTTTAATGCAAATATCCCATTGGAGAGATTAATTTATCTATGTAGACCTTTAGTAATTAATATGGGTGAGATGTAACATGAGTACTAGATATTTAGTGCCGGACAAGGCTTTAGTCCGCAGAGTCGTTCTTCTATATCATTAATAATATCTATACTCAAAAATATACAGGTCTGTGGCGTCTTACATCTGTGGCATTCGTGATGCCAATTTCTGTTTCTCTGGCCCACGACATGAAATGGGAAGAAAACCGTTTCGTCGGGTCGCGTCGGTTTAAAATCGCGGGATCGGCCTACGAATAATTAAAAATAAAAGCGGCGTCCCGGCTTCCTTCGCCTTTCATTTGCGAAATTGAATAACCGTTAAACAAATACGCCGTTTTAAATATTAACGTGGCACATGTGTGTGTGTGCGAGCGCGGGTACCCTTTTGCATTGTTCGAGGGGGCCGAGGGAGGGAGGCGCGGTGGACAATATCGTTGAAAGTCTCCGCTCTGGAGATCAAACAAACAATTCCATTTAGAGGAAATCAAACAAAATAATTCAAAATACAATGTGACAGGCGTGTTGTGGTCTCATCTTCTAATATGAAATGGAATGGGGCTGTGTGTATATAATAGTTTTAACATTTAACAACTACATGTATTCGATTTTATAATAATAATATAGTTTTTATTTACTTTTACAATATACTCTCAAAATATATGAGGAGCATCAATTAGATTGTCAAATCAAAGAAATTCATGAATTAAGTCTATTTTTGATTCTTTTTGTTGTAATTAGGTCCAATTTTGAATATTAATATGTTTCAATAAACTAAGGTTATTTACTATATCTTTTACTTGTTTTCTGACATGAATTAGATTAAGAATGATAAGGAAAAAACCTTAAATTACAAACAGTTCTATTATTACAATTTCTTCATAAATCCATAAATTGATGACGATCACTGTTGTTTATGTTAAATACATAAACAAACACTGATACTTGTACAAAACAATTAATTGAAGTTATTGCTGGTATTAGGAAACATCCCGTTTATTGTAATAAATATTTTTATTATTTATATGTAAGTCACGAGTATCGACCAAGAATTGAATCAATTTTTCTTTTGTTTCAGACAAGGCTTGCCAGGGCAACTGCATCGTGTGTCAGGCCCAGTTGGGCGCCCAGCTACCGTCAAGGCCCCTGCCTTCAAGCCAGGCCTCCCAATATGGGCTGCGTGAAGACCAGGTGACCCCCAGCGCTAGGGTGTGCAACGTGTGCCGTTGCAAGTGCATCCGCTCGCGGTACACGCACTGTCCTCTGCCCATGTGTCCCAACTCGAGAGGGCGTATCAAGCGACTCCGCTCGTTTCCATACAGGTTCCAGGACCTGCCGGCCGACGTCAGGGAGCCCCTGCTCGCCGAATTCCACATCCCCAGCGGCGTAACCAAGTGCTGCTCCGCTTGCTTCAACCGCATCCAGCGCCGGCTGGGTCCCGTGGAAGAGTGGCCCGAGGAGGATGTGAGCAAGTTGAAGGCCGCTCTCACGGATCTGGGGGCTAATTGGCAGATGATCAGTGAACGTTTGAACAAGGCCCCGCATCAGATCAGGAGCTTCTACGGCGCCAATCGGAAGAGGCTCAACCTAGAAAGTTGCCTCGGCGACAGGAAGCCCACGCTGACAGACGAGGAGGAGAGCGGCTCAAGCACGTCGAGCTGCGAGGAGCCCATAAGGGAGCGTAGCAACTCCAGCGACACTGCCAGTGCCGCCGAGAGTCCGCCTGTGCAGGGCTGCAACAGTAACAACCCCATCAAGAAGGAAGACTATGACTCGAGCGCCACAGAGACGGCGGATGAGGCACAGACGCCCGACCACTACCAGGTGTCGGCGACCATCACGCCGGTCACCAACGACGGCCAGCCCAGGCAGAACACCTCCCCGTTGAGCGTCAAGGACCTGGTGCTGGGGGTGATCGAAAACTCGTTCAAGAAAAACCCGGTGGTACAGCAGCAGAACCAGATCAACCCTCCGACAAGCGGCATGGCGCCCACCATCTCCTCCATCCTAAACAACGACTCTAATGAGGTGACGATAGTCAGCGAGTACAACCTGAATAACATAAACAGCCAGCAGAGGCAGCCGGTGCAGCAGAGAACTGATTTGAATTTGGCCAAGCTGACTCCACTTATAGGGGCCACTATTACGCCCGTTTCGGGTCCCATCCAGACGCAGCCTATGGAGCCTCTGCCTCCATCCAGAGACGACCTGATAGTGATGCAGGTGCCCGACGGGAGGGAGCCCGAGACGCTGGACCTCAGCATAAAGAAACCGAGAGAGCCGCCTCCGCCCATAATGACTAAACACCAGCAACAGATGCAGCAGCAGCAGCAGCAACAGCAACAGCAGCAACAACAGCAACAGATGCACAGATCAGAGCAGGCGTACATGTACCACCAGGAGAGGAAGAGCCCCGCCTTCACCATGCGCTCCCAGCCCAAGTTGCCCAGTCCGAAGCCGGCGAATCCTAAAGCGGGCTCGATAACTTTAGGCACCCCCATTATATCCCAACCTAGAGGGTACGAAGGCCTCCTGAGACAGATGCCCGAGGCAAAGATGGGTTCGATAACGCAGGGCACACCCATCCACATGCCGCACAACATGCAGGACAAGCGGGTGTACGACTACTTCAATAAAGCGAGAGCGCAGATGCCCACCCAACAGAGCCAGAGCCAGCAGCCCCAGTACCCCGGGCAGTACCGAACGGCCTACACCACCGTCGACCAGCAGCTGAGTTCGCAACAGCTCACCTCCAGGCAGATCATCATGAACGATTACATCACGTCGCAACAGATGCTGAGCAGGCGTAACGAGAAACTTCAGTATTACCCGGCGAACTCCCCTCACCGCACTCCGCCTCCGCAACAGGGGCAGCAGCAGAGGCAGGGAGTGATCCAGAGACACACCAGGCCGCAATATCTCCAGCCGGGCCACGAAGCTCTCTCTTCCTTGGTGGACGTGGCTGTGCAACAACCTTCCCTACCCGTACCTAGCGCCCCGCACGAAGGCCTCGGGAAGACCATGGCGGACAATATCTTGGAACAGCCGCACCGGTACCAGATAATCCAGCAACACCAGCAGCAGTTGAGGCAGCAGCAGCGCTTGGAAGAGCAGAGACGGGCGGCCTTCCACCACCAGCAGGCCCAGCAACAGCAACAGGTGCAACAACAGCAGCAACAGCAACGGCAACAGGCCAGGACGGATTCCAGCACGTTGACTGCCGCCAGCCTGATAGATGCCATAATCACGCACCAAATCAACCAGACGGCCGAGGGTGGGCGTGGAGAAGTGGTACAGAACACCAGGGAGCAGAGAGCCGGGGATCTGCTGTTCCACAAAGTGGAATCGTCGCAGCAGCAGGGCCAGGATAACGGCGATCGACCGCCCTCGGTTATAAGCGTAGATTTAGACGTGGACGCGGTGAACAAGAACCTTACTGTGAAAGAGCTGACGGATTCGGTGATCAGTCACGACTTTAGCTCGAGGCAGCCCAACTATTACCACCTGCAGGAGAACGTGAACGAGCAGTGGAAGCGGCGAATGCAGCACCAGCAGCAGCAGCAGCAGCAGCAGCACCAACACAAGGAGGACAAACGGGCGCAGACTCCCCAGCAGGACGAGCGCCAGATCATTAGAATAGCCCAGCCGCAGCAGAAGTACCACATAGAGCGTGTGGAGCCCGTCTCACCTCCCGAGAACAACCACTGGTCCGAGCAGAACTTCCGGCGGTACCAGCAGCCCCAGTCGCACATCTCCCCCCTGGACTACGTCAAGAACAGGATAGTGGAGGTGATGCGCACCGAGGACGATAAGAAGGACAGCCAGGAGGGCTCCCACTCGCAGGAGAAGGACCGCAGCGACAGTCCCGGCGACATGGTGATCGACGAGGAGAAGCACGAGAACGAGTTTGGGGCGCCGCCGCCTCAGCAGGGCCAACCAATGCAGCCGCAGGGCGGGTTTTACTCGTTTGTTCACAAAGACAGCACTGCCAACGAGAACTCGAGGAATAACGAACCCAAGCCGCTGCTGAGCGCCCAGTACGAGCCGCTCTCGGACGAGGACTAACAGTTAAAGATTTCCGTGTTTTAGATTGGACTTTTTTTTTCTGGGAAAAGCTTCTTTCTTGTCTGTATATAATAAGTAATAAGTGATATTTTAGGATAGGTTTAATGTTATTTACACTTAAAGCAGCCCCACTTTGACCGACATCTCTGGTGGGACGCGGTCAAGAAATTTCACGTTACCTTCCCGGTTTCAAGACGACGTGGTGGATTTCGAAAATAATTTGTACGTATCGGAGATTTTCATGTTAAAAAGGAGATAAATGAGGTCGTTCCGCTCAGTTTTGACTTTTAGATGTCGTGGAAGTGGGGTCTAACTGTAGCGTCCAACATTTAGTTATTTTTTTAAATATTGTAACTTGTAGATAAATATTTTAGTTTTACTGAATTTAAACCAGAAATGATGTACATATTATGTAAACATGAGGATCGTAAGTGTAAGTCGACTTTTAGGTTAGGTTAAAAGATGTACGGAGCCGATTGCATAACTTTTAAATTATTTCCAATTTGGTTTTTATGCAATTGCGAGACGAGTTCTTTGCATTTCCAATGTCATCAGTTTTCTCTTTTCTTTTTAATATTTTTATACGTAACTAATTTCGTGTACTACTAAAATTTGCTAAAGTGCAATTTTTCGTTTGCTAGATTTTAAAAAAAAGTTGTACATTTCCTTCCGTAACGTGTACATGTTTTTTAATTTTTTGGGAATGTAAATAACTAAATTTATTATAAATATTTTAGAACGTAAGGAATCCCATGTAAATATTTGTGAATTTTTTTAATTTTTCCGTTTCACAATGTAATTTAAGTCTTTACGCTTTTGGCGTCTAAAACTAGACGAACTGATAATTTTTCTACACTATAAAACAAATGCTTCCAAAATATGTACACTGTCAATTTTTTTAGTTTGTAATTTTCAAACTTGTTATTTTGTTGAAATAAATGAATATCAGTTGGATTTACATTTTATTTTATTCCCTGTTGTCCCTTAAAGAGCTCTATATCGTATTTAAATTACTGCCGCTGGCAATTTTATTTTCCTATGGCGCCATCTATCGCAAACATACTCAACTTTAATGTTCGACATCTACTCGATAGAGGCGCTGCTAACAAAAAGTACATTTTCGGTAGTGTCACCTATTGGTTGAGTATCGAACCGTGTAGTTCAGGATCTACCCAATAGGAGCGCACAAGTAAATACGGTTTTGTGCTGCCATCTATCGGAGTTGATTAGAATCGTATGATTCTATTATTATCCGGGAGATGGCCCGAGAACCTTGAAGCTTTCTGCTATCGCCATCTACCGGCTCTATTCCGAACATAGTAGTTCAAAATGTTGTTAATAGTGGCGCTGATCAGTAACATTCGGATAGTGTCACCTATTGGACAGATATCGAACCTTGTAGTTCGTAATCTACCCAATAGGAGCGCTGACGTAGCAAATGTTGGAATATTCCAACCACCATAATAGCGAATCTGAACGGCCGAGTTCGTTTCCGTGGTTTCCATAGGATGCGACACTCAAGAGTGCCGACGAGCTTCGAAAAGTGACAAACTGTTCGGGAAATATTCTAATTTTCAATTTATATTCTAACAAATAATCTTGTTCTGCTTTTTGAGGTGTTGAACTTTTGTTCAATGATAAAATAATTAACATCAGAAGTGGGATTCAACCACAATGTCCATAAATACAGAAGAACAAGAAATTCCACACCGTTGACAGTCCGTCATGACACCTGGGAATTTTCTGGCAATGTTTCAAAAAATGGTAGAGGCGACCAGCTCCAACGTGATTCAGAATGTGGAAAATCTCCGCTCTACCGTTATTACTGGGCCAGGAAATTCCAGAGATGTGCAAATTTGCCTTCAGAGTTTTGATCCGGAAGTAGATAACGCTTTGGTTGAAACGAATGGGAAACTGTGGTAAGATCTGCCCATCATTTGCAAGGTAATGCGAAAGTTTAGTATAATTCATGACGGCCAAAAGCTAATGAGCGTGTGTGGGGGCGTATGAAAGTTGATTTAGGTCATACGTTTCCTCGTAAACGAAACAATGGTTTGTTGTTGTACGAAGCTGTAACCTTTAACTCTGATAGATTTGAGAGTTATGATGAGTATGCTAGACAAAAATTATCGAAACTAAACAGTGTTTCGTGTGGAATGGCCGGAGAATGTTTTGGTTGAGACAATTATACAAGGTATAACTAATTTAAATGTTAGAACTAGTGTACACAATCAAAATTGTTTAGATGTCTATAATTTAATTTCAACATTGCTGTATTCTTTTTACCACGTTTAACTGAGATTAACTGAGTCACTCAGTTCGTCTTAGTAAATTGGAGAAAAGTATATGGTCTTTTAATATGGCTTAAGTTGAGTACAAAGTGAAACTAGCTAAGAAAATTTCTTCCCCCCTTACCCCAAATGAGCTAGCTTTTGATAAAACAGAAGTGTGTCATAAGTGAGTTGAAAACTTTTTGCGTTCTGTGCCAGATATTTGTAATGTTCCATGTCATATCTGTCTTAAAAGTTTGGTACTATACCATTAAATATATGGAGGTTTATCCTTTACATTTTTTAAAAATGGAAAATGAAAATGTAATATCTACACATTCCTATTGTAATGAAGCATTATTATTTTCCGATTTGTGTAAGGCCGCTGGCCAGTTATTTATTTAATTAGTTTAATTGGGTGAGAGCAATTAACCGCGAGTCGAGCCGAAACCATCCGTTGCCCCACTTCGTCGAGGGCCGCGCGCATCGTCCCACCACGACTCCTGCCTAGTCAAGGGGGGATTGAAGCAATAAAACAACCGTTCCTGCACGAAGATCCTCAGTTGAAGTTGATAAGATAAGTACGGTTTTGCACAGTTTAGTGGGTTGACTGCGATGGTACTGTACCTTTTGTCGGTACCCTGTTAAATGCCATGTCTATTGATAATATTAAAACATCTCAGAGGCCATTGCTGAAAAAAAGGGCTGATGAAGGAATTACAGCAAATTACAGAATTCAAAAAGGTACTTCAATAAAAAAAATAGAAAACCTGTGTGCGGCTTTTCTGTTGGTGACCTGGTTATTTTAAAAAGAACAGCTTTGGTTGGAAAACTGCAAAGCAGAGTGCGACATCCATTTAAAATACTAAAAGTTTTGCCAAATGACCGACTGCAAATGAGTTAAGTTGGTACATTCACGACCAATTGCGCTGTGGATCAAGTCCGAATTTGGTCTCACGAATGGACCCTGATGATCNACCCATGGGCAACAATAAATACTGCACTTAAATTAGGCAACCAAATGTACATATACATATCTACGGTTGTCTACATTATGCATTAGTTAGGCTTCCAAATCACCAGAGGCGCTGTGGTAATGGTTTAGTGGATTATTTAGGGAGATTTCGTTCTATCTTGTATATTATTTTTTCTATGGGTCTCACGAATGGACCCTGATGATCATGCTGATATGAGCTCCGAATCTGAGTCTGCTGAGCCATGTTATGTACTTACGTGTTTGTCACTTTATGTAAATGACCAGAAACACGTGAGTTGGGATAATTGTTGGTGTTTACGATACCTGTCGCTTTGTCGACCTGAAGTATGTAAACAAGTATATACCATATTTCGTAATGTTTTATATTGCTGGTGACGTTGGTGTTTGCTATGCCTGTCGCGTTGTCGACCTGAAGCATGTAAACGATGTTTTCTTTGTGTGTTTACTATGCCTGTCGCGTTGTCGACCTGAAGCATGTAAACAATATTTGGTTTATGTATTTATTTTGCCTGTCATGTTAGTTGACCTGAAGCAATATTTTTAACAAATAACTGTTTGACACACATCAGAGTATTATAATAAATCACATTATTTAATATGCGGATATTCTACCTTGCCTGTCATGAGATTTGACCTGAAGCATGCGTATAGGATATTTAGAAAATTTTACTGCATTTTGAATTATGTATCCATATTATTCTTCTAAGGATTGGTGAAATGTAATAATAATGACTAATATAAATAATAATGCTGGTGTTGGTAAGTCTCGTTTAAGGAATTTACAATCTACAACTTTTACAAGGTTGCGACGATTCACAAGCAAAGTCGTATCACCACGTTCACTTTATCATCTTAAATAATAAAACACTAATAGGTATTTTATGTGGGAGCAGAGCTTGAATTGAAAAAATTGCTTCTCCCCTGTTAAGTCTGTTACAGGAAAAGATACTCATTTGTTGTCTGGAGTGCCCAGTTCATCCACAAGCGAAAGAACATACGCCGATGAAGCACTTCGAGGACGAAGCGACTGTCAGTCTGGCCGTGTTGGAATATTCCAACCACCATAATAGCGAATCTGAACGGCCGAGTTCGTTTCCGTGGTTTCCATAGGATGCGACACTCAAGAGTGCCGACGAGTTTCGAAAAGTGACAAACTGTTCGGGGAATATTCTAATTTTCAATTTATATTCGAACAAATAATCTTGTTCTGCTTTTTGAGGTGTTGAACTTTTGTTCAATGATAAAATAATTAACAGCAAATGTTTTTTGTGGCGCCATCTGTTGAAACAGATTCGAATCTTATAGTTCCAGTATTCTCCAGACGATGGCGCTGGCAGAGAGGAAATTATTGTATTGATCATAGAACTTTGCAGTACACTATGTTGTTAATAATAAATTTATAGTGCTGTCACCTAGTGGACAGCTTTCAAACCTTGTAGTTCGTGATCTACCCAATAGGGGCGTACACGTCGTAAATACGGTTCTGGAGTAGATTAGAATCGTACTGTTCTATTATTATCCGGAAAAGGGCGCTCGAACCTTGAAACTTTTTGCTAGCGCCATCTACCGCGCATATTCAGAACATTGAAGTTCAATATGTCATTAGTTGCACTGATTAGTAAAATGCTGGTATTGTCACCTGTTGGACAGGTATCGAACCTTGTAGTTCTTGATCTACCCAACAGGAGAACTGGCGTTGCAAAGGTGTATTTATTTCGCCATCTGTTGAAGCAGATTGGAATCTTATAGTTATAGAAATCTCCAGGAGGCGCTGGCACCTTGGAAATTTTTAGAGGCGCCATCTATTGGATCTAGGTGGAACATTGCAGTACACGATGTTGTTGACAGAGGCCCTAATGTAGAAAATTTAGTTTTAACAGTGCCATCTGTCGGGCTTGTCTGAAACGTTATAGTAGCAGATTTGCCGCTAGGTGTCGCTACTGCTGCATATTTTTTCACCGACTCCGCTTAGATGGCGCCATTAAAAAAGATAATTTTAAAGTGATTAACGGCTGTACGTCAGGTTATTAAATAATTTGGTCATATTTTCATATTGTAAACAATTTATTTCCACAACATTTATATATTACAGACAAATATGGTAAAACTGTAGGTACAATGACTTTATAAAAATTAAATAGTAGTAATAGCAATAATTACAGTTCTACGCTAATATAGTACATGGATTAATTACATAAACGAAGCATATTTACAAGTTAATACTCACCTAGAAATAGAAAATAACAATTTGCGACCCTAAGGCTACCGAGTACAAATTTTGATCTGCGACATAACCTGCATGTTGCTAAGTACAACGAATTAATAATAAATTACAGTGTAATTCCTCTAAACTCTTCAGTCTTATCACAAAGTTGGCGTCGTACTGGTGATGGGCCCCGGAATGCCACGAATCCTCAGAGGAAACGTAGCGGTTTTGGGGGCGCGGGCTGTGATGTACGTTTATTCGCTCCGTTAGACGTATTCGGCCGGAAGGACCTCCGTTTCGTCTGCTTCTTGTCTGCAGAATGTCATCGAAAGCGTTCTGCAGATGTTCACCGCCACTCAGGTGTACGACGGGTCCTTACCCAGGTTGCTGGAGGTGCTGGAACGGCTGGCACTGGATAATCTGAAGAAATATTTGTGATTACAATCCTACATTACAAAGAAAAAAAAAAAACGCTTACCTCCTAATGTCGTTTCCCAAAGATGTCTTCTCGTTCTTAGGAGAGCCCAACTTGTGGTTGGCCAGGAAAGTGCTCACCGATTCGTCGGAACTGTAACTGTCTTGTTCGCTATAAATAAAAACGTCTTCAATAAAGAAACTTGGACATTGCAGAAAATATTACCTATCGGAGTTATCCGAAATGCTGTCCTCCAGATCGCCCTGGATGGCCGACTGCAAGTCCTCTATCCTCTTCAGGGCCAGGCGTAGGTCAGTACGGGCCGTCGAGTTTTCCGCCTCCAAGGATTCGCACCTCTTCTCCAGCTCCTTCTTCTTGATGATCACCTCCGACTCCTTGGCCAGGCTCTTGTTCAGCTCCTCCTTTATCTCCCTGTTAATGATATTAATTGATAATATTATAAGGAAACAACTACTCTGTTGGCTAGAGTCCCGGGCAGGTAAGATCATTTGTCAACAGAATCACCAAACATAGACATAATTATATCGTCTGCTTACCTCAACTGTCTCTGCAGCTTCCTGACCTGGTCCTGTCCTTGTTGCTCCTTGACCCTGGACCCGGCAACCTCGTTCTGCAACTTCTCCACAGCCTCCTTCAGTCTGGCGATCTGAACCTCCAGCCTGGCCCTCGTGGTCTGTTCCAGCTCCAACTTGGACTCCAGTTCTTTCACTTTCAACTCGGACCTAAAAACAAAATATGTATCGTGTGCCAAAAGTGTCCATTTTTATTAAAGATTCCTCACCTTCTGACTTGTAAGTTGGACGAAGCGTCGCCCATGCTCTCCACTGACTCCAACTTTGACGTCAACTCTGCCAGTTGCTCCTTCAGCTGGTTCTTCTCGATCTCCAGCTCGGACACTAACGAGACCTGCTCCTGCAGCGCCATCTGGTCCAGGGACATCTGTTGTACCGTGCCTTTGAATTTCTTCAGCACCTCCGCCAGCTCCTCCTCGTTCTCTTCCAGCTGGGACTGCAGGTCACTCTTTTCTCTCAGCAGGACGTTGGCACGTTCTTCCGCGTCCTGTTTCTGCCTGTGGGCGTCCTCCAGGAGGGACTGGGTCTCCATGAGTTCGGTTTCGAGGCCCTGTCTGGCCTTGACGGCCATCGCCCTGGCGCATTCCATGTCTTCCAGCTGGTTCCGCAGCTGGCGGATCATCGTCTTGCCTGAAACGTAATGTCGTATAATGAAGGAATAATGTATCTACATTTGTAGAAATTGTCCGGATATAGAGGATTAGAACATTTTAATAAAAATTTACTACAGAAAAGTAGGTGTTTTGCGGTTGATTAAATAATCCGGGCAACGTTGCAAATTGGCTCTTAGAATGTGCTTAGTTGTCGTCAATAGAAAATTAGTAAATAAATGTGTCTATATATTTAGAAGTCTGTGCTTAAAACGTAATAACCGGAACGTGTAGGTATTTATTTTAGTATTTAGTGACGGTATGGAGTGTTTGTGTGTCTTCATTGTTAAAGTAGTGTGTTATATAAAAAGCATGAATAATGATGATATTTTACAACACCCCATATATTAATAAAAAAATATTCCTACCTGGCGTCTCTGCCTTCTGCCTGTCCAACTGGGTTTGCGTGTCTCTGAGGAGGGCTTTCGTTCTCTTCAGGTCCCTCTTCAGCCTCTGCAACAGGGCCTCGTCTCCTGCTCTGTCGTGTCGCTCAGTCTCGGCAGCGGCGGACAGTCTTCTCTCCAGCTCGTGCTTCTCCCTCAGAAGCAACGTCCTCTCTTCGTGTTCGTTTTCTAGTTGGGCTTCCAAAGCTGAAATAAGGATATTCATAATTTTATTAAAAAAAAATTCCAGAAAGCAAACAGTTTTACCTTTAACCTTCTTCTGGGCGTTGCACCGGACGTCCTCCAGCTCTTCGTCCCTGACCTGGGCCTCCTTCTTGGCCTCCTTCCTCATGGACTCCAGCGTCATCTCTAGACGGAGCTTGGCCTGTTCCAAGAGTTGCACTTGACCGGCCAACTCGTCCAGCTCCTCCTCCTGGTCCTGGAGGCGTCGTTCGCAATCGATCTTCTGCTTCCTGAGGATGGTCACCTCCTCTTCCGTCTTGCCGCCACAGGTTATCTCGTCGAATTCGCGCTGGAGGGAGGACAACCGTTCCTCTTTTAGTTCCAGCTCCAAACGGATGTCCTGAGAGAAAATTTACATAAAACGAGTTCCATTTCTGTTTTGACGCAACTTACCGCCAGGGCGCTTTCGATGGTGTACTTTTCTGCCACGCAGACCTCCTTCTCCCTGGCCAGCCTCTCCTTGGCTTGTTTCTCCTTCTTCAGTTCGTCCTGGAGCATCTGCGTCTCCGAGTCGAACTTTCTCTGCTTCTTCTCCAGGAGGTTGTTCCTGGCGTTCTGCTCTTCTAGCAGCAGCCGGAGGTCATTCGTCTCGCCATTCATCTTCTGCACCTTCCTCTTCCACTGGCCCACGACCTGGCGCTGCTCCTCGACCTCCTCGTAGGCATCCGCCAACTGGGACCGAAAAAATCGGGATGAGTAAAAATTTACAGATAAATCTCTAAAATCAAGTCCCATTATACGGTAATACCGAAAATAAAACAGATGAAAGTTAATGAGGTCACATTTTGATAACGAACCGTTTTTTAGGGGACGATTTTTAGACCCAAAGAAAATTAAATAAAAAATTAAAATATTGGTAACCCTCCTGAAAGCTTGAAGGATTTTTATTTTTCACAAAATTAAGTTTTATAACACTTTATTTTTCAAACATGAAAATGCTGTCAATTAAAAAAATATATATAATTTTTTGAAAAATATGGAAACACCTGTTGGTATCAGACAGGGTTCATAGTTCAAAAATAATAAAGAATTCCCCTACTTTTCCAGGTTTTCCATGACATAAAAAAAATCCAGGTCACTTGTCATCATTTTTACATACTAATGATGTTTATGCATTAAACTTTTTCTCGACTGGACTCCATAATCTTTTTTATACCTAAAGAACCTCTTATAAATCAAACCGCAAATAGTTTTCTTTTTCAAGAACCCAGGGCCTGCTTTCACAAAATTTCCAGTAGCAAACCTCAAGTTCCCTGACTCATAATCTCATAAATATTTTTAAAATTCCCTGATTATTACCTGTTTTTTTATGAAGAATAATGAATTCCCCGACTTTTCCCGGTATTCCCGGTTTTCTCGGCCCTATGAACCCTGTCTGATTATGTTAATGAATAGAAAAAAATATGTATTTAGACAATAAATGTCAACAGTTTTCAAGATTTCAAGGGAGGTTATCCCAAATTTTTTCATTATGAAAGTTCTCTATGTAAGCCTAGAAAAAATCTTCATAAAAAAACATACTGACAAAACATCATATCAGAATAATTGCTGCAAATGACTTCAAACTATGAATAATTTTTCAAAAATTATTGTTGTAATATCCAGAATCAGTTATGCTACTGTTTTAACAAAAGTATACAATTTCTAATCAAATACTTAAACTACTATTATTTTATTGAGATTTAAAAAGATTACACTCTGGCCTGTTTTATACACGCTCTTCCATGAATCCGATGACCTCTTCTACAACAGGCCGAGTGGTAAGCATTTTATATTTTATGGTAATTTCAATAAAACTATTCACATCCCTTACCAAGTACAGTTTTTTACAAAAGAAATAATTATTAATTTTTTACAATAGAAATAATTATTACTATAAGAATAACAACCAAGATATGACGACCTTCGCAACAGGCTCAGAAGTTATTATTGTTGTGTATTAAGTTCTACATCTACAAATAATACAAATATTATCAGTTAAATTAGGAGAATTAGGAAATAGTCTAAGAATTTTTGTTAAATTTTTCTCCGGAAAAACATTTATTCACGTAAATTAAAACAAATTAGTTTTGAAATTGTTTGATTTTTCGAAACGTGAACTATAATTATTTTAAGTAGGTACTTTTAATTTTGTCTGCGTTTTTCAGTGGGAGATTCTTGACCTTTTTGAATCCTTAACTGATCGTTTTAGTGCAAGGGGGCTTATTTATTAATTTTTAAATATTTCCACAACTGACACAATATTAATAAGAAAAATGAATTTGCAACTTTATTAAGGGAAATTAAATATACCTTCACTTTTAAAATATCCTGAGGATGATTCTAGAATTAACTTTAATATTTATTTAGGCGATTTAGTATAGAAACAATTGCACTCACTAAAAGGGTTTTTATTGTTTCATTCATTTATTTTTTGATGATGAAATCACAATATACTATTAAATTTGGGGGTGAATTTTTGAGAAAAGGGTGAAAGGAGTGGTTTTTTAGTTTTTTCAATATAACTCAAAAACTATGCGGAATTCACGAAAATTACAAAGGTACTTGTTTGTAAAAAAATAATTTCTTATCAAAATAGCCTTATATCAGAATAACCTGGAAAAAACTATTTTTATACCAAATTGTAAAACCGAATTTTGACTTCATTTGGCAAGATAATTTTTTTTAAATTTGTATTAGTTAAAATAGAGAAAAAATATGAATATCCCCATATTTACAGAGAACAATTTTAAAATTGTGACAGTAGCAGTTTAAATTAAGATTATATACAGGGTGTCCGGAAATTAATGCAACAAAATTTGGTCATAGATTCTTAAGACAAATTTAATGGACCCGTATTTTTCCTTTTTGCTAAGTGGCCCCCTCTTTCGGAGTTACTGCCCCCTGAAATCTGCCCTTGTCATTTTTGCGATTTATCTCAGAATCGTGTTGTACGAGAATCACTAAATTTGATACACAGGGGTTTTATGACATGTGGAATCTGACAGTACTACGCTTTTTGGTGGGGAACCCTCTCTTAAGACACTTTTTTGTGGGCCCCTTTGTCTTTGGAACCAAAAAAATTTGGTCGCAAATTTGAATTTTTTAAAAATTGTTAGCTAGAAAGTCATTGAATTTAGAAACTTTTTTGTCTCTTGATATTTTTTTGTTAACCGGCATTTTTTTTTGGGAAATTGGGGATTCCCGTTTTGCTTTTGTTCCTTTTTTACCTTTTTCTTGGAAACCTTTGGTTTTTCGGAAAAAGTTTTCAGTTGCCAAAAAGTTTTTTAATTTTATTGGTTTTTTGGGGGATTATTATTTAAAAAAATTAATTTTGGGCCCAATTTTTTTGGCTCCAAAAGGGACACACGAAAAATTGTCTTTAGAGGGTTCCCCGACAAAAAGGTTGGCCCCTTCGGTTTCCCCTTTTCCCAAACCCCTTGGTTCCCAATTTTGTTGTTTTTGTTCCACCGGATTTTTGGGTTTTAAAAAAGGGTTTTTTTTTTGGGGGGGTTTTTGGGGGGTGTGTCTCTGCGAGAGAGGGGGCCTTTTGACAAATAAAAAATACGGGTCGCCTGAATTTGTCTTAAGAATCTGTGACCAAATTTTGTTGCATTAATTTCGGGACACCCTGTATAATGCGAAATTTTCGGTATTTTCTTTAAAAAATCGCACCCTTGAACGAATGAAGGTGACAAATGATTAAAAAAAAATGAGAATAAATTAGTTTCCTTAAAGCCCATTAAATAGTTCATAAAATCGTTCTACCGGATGACATAAATGTCAGAAAAAAATTTCCCTTGCATATTTTGCAAGTTGTAAATTCTACATAACCTGCAAAGCGCGATATTTTAAATGGCCATTGGTACTCAAAGCCTGCTGGCACAAAATATTGCTTTCCACACACTGGCAGAGAGCAACCTACTAAGTTGTATATGCTAGGAGAAATAAACTTTTTTGATTAATGATATTATGGAAAATGCTTAAAATGAAAGAAGAAGACTAACTGATGATTTTTATATATAACTTGCAAAAAAATTACCAGATTCGTACGTAAGAAAAAAAAAGGCACTCATGTAGTTTGACAGAAAATTGGAGAAAACAACATATGACAAACAAATACTTAATAGTTTTTTTAAGGAGACCAGTCTTGGTAAATCGAGTAAAAATTTAAAACTATTTATTCGTAAGAACAGAGAATGCAATCAAATTTGAAACGAATCCTTACCTTTGATCAAATAAACTACACTCTTCCACTTCACGAAAAAAAGCCTTCTAAGACGTAAAATACCGAGACCACAACTCTTTAAGACAGTCACCTTGCTCAGAGAATCCTTCTACACACATCGTAACTCAAAATTACTCCAAATAAAACTATTTTTAACTGCACTCGATCCCCCGATACCGAAACACGTAACATCCACACAATAACCCAACCACAACAAAAGATAATGCTTCACAATGCCATCTCAAGTATTTTTTTTTATTATCTAATGTTTACTCTTCATATAATTTCATTTAAATTTTACGACCTCGCAAATCTCTGTGCTATCTATCGCATACCCGACGTCACGTTGCACACTTTCAGCTCCTAAGGACGGTCTTATCGAGGCAGGGCACTTAAAAAAAATATATGAAGCGGCAGATAGGACGAGTTTACGTGCCGCGGCAAACGACGCGTTTAGGTTAGAAGTTGATGCATGCCTGCTAATGCTCAACTTCTTTGTTCGCTCTGGAATGATACCCCTATGCTTTGAACATGTCGAGGAGAACGAAAATATGAAGGATGTTTACCTTAACGGCAAACAAAACGCGTCTTGGCACGCACCTCGATCGTACAGGGTGTCCCAACGAAAATTTAGCGTCCCCTGCAACTTTGTTCAGCATGGTTTTTTCGGGGGAAGAATTAAAAACAAACGAAAAAAATTTGAACGTTTGTTATGTGGGATATTGAGGTTCCTGTCATTAGTTTTGCTAATGTAAATAGTAATAAAAACATTGTCAGACCATGTCCGCTTTTAAAAGACGTTGATGTAGATTCTGAATTTAAAGGCTGCCCCAAAAGTAATGCAGGATTTGTTGAATTGTGCGTCATTTTCATTGCGAAGAGTTGCCAGCATTGTGCGGGATCACATGTTGCAGCAAACACGTTGCGCTTAGACAAAATGGATACGACAGCTGAGCGAGTGAAGATTTTGTACGTAGCGTAGAGTGTGTAGTTGAGACTGTGTGCAAATTTTCGGTAGAAGGAACGCCCCAAATGAAACAACTGCGAAAAGATTAGCTCCCAAATTTGAACAAACAATATTGCTACGGTGAGTGATAGTGTGGCAGTGCACCTCGTTCACTGTGATTAAACATTTCAAAAAGCACGATGCAGCGGATTTTAACGAACGATCCGCTTCTATATCCATTCAAGATTCAGCTAACTCAGGAAATGAAACCAGACGACCATTTAATGCGCCGGATATTCGTTGATTGGATGTTGAAGAATTAACAAGTAGACGGTAATTTTTTAAAGAAAATCAACTTTAGCGACGAGGCGCATTCCTTAAGAACGATCAATGTATACCCAAAGAGTGACAGTGTGATGTGGATTTAACGCCACTTATTCGAATGCACAAAAAACGACTCATAATGAGAAATGCTCTGTAATTCTTAAATAAATCAAAATATTCTAATGTTTTGACAGTTCCATTTTCCTCTAAAATTGAATTCGAGACACCGTAACCAACAAAAAAATTTAGAAACTGGCACACCCTGTATAAAAGTACAAATGGGAGTGAGGTTTTTGTAATATAACTTAAATACACTATATTAGTAACTCTTTAGTTTCATTTAGACAGATTTGAAACATTACAGTTTTTTAAATGTTTGTAAAAAAATAGAACACGACAGAATTGTAATGAAATACACAAATAAGAATTTTTCTTCTTCAATCGAAAAAATAACATCACAAATTCTTATCCTGACATTTTTTAAATTAAAATCAAACCGAGTTCTCGTCATTTTATATTCGCTCTACATAACTACATCAAGAAAAAAAAATATACAGTGTGGGCCATTTTGGTGATGTATGGTAACTATAACATATAGGAAAATGTTTAGTTGGGGAAAGTTTTAGACAGTTCCATTGCTAACCTAATGGCGTTTGTAGACCGGGCTTAGCTCTTCGGATTTTTGAGTTATTTAAAAAAAAAAAATAAATGTAGCGTTTTCGAAAATTGTCTTTTTTTTGAGAAATTTTGAAAATCTGAAAACACTTTTTCACAGCAAGTTTTTTTCGAGGAATTCCACTGTATATTTAGATTTTCATTGCGACGTTTCGGTTGTGAGAAATCATCATCAAATTTATTTTTTCTTATGGGCGCCATATTGAATTTTAAACTGAGCAAATAGAACATTTTTTTGGATTTTCAAATATATATGTGAGAAAAATTTTCAAAAACAACCTCAAAAATCAATATTTTAATATTTTTAGTAAATCTGTCAACACCGCATAATTTTTCGAAACTATTATAGAATGGTCTCAAATTTTTGTAAAAGGTTATCATTAATGTCATGGCGTTGAGTGAAAAAATGATAGTAATGGCTACGTGTTTGCAAAGAAAAGCCCCATTAGTAGTCTGTGAATCTCCATGCCGATAATAATATTTTCATTTGTTTCAAACTGCTTGTCATTTTGAACTTTGTTAATCATAGAATTAATTCTTAACAGTCAGAGACATTTTAAAATCGTCAAAATGGCTTTGCCAATGAAGAAAAATGTATGTTATATAATTTCCAATAGACGCAACATATCATGGCCTCTAAGTCACCAGATATTATCGCCCTAGATATTTTCCTCTGGGCATACCCCCATTTTCACGAAGAATCAGATTTATGAATTGGAACCTCCCCAAACTGTGGAAGTTTATAATATTTTACAAAGGTGCTTGCATACCCAAAAATGGACAGCAATTCGAATAATAATCCCGATGTTTATTTTTCTATTACATAGTATTGTTGATGAAATACACTATTAATTGTCCCAGTTATTATTATATATTTCATAGTTCTTAGCATCTAGCTTTTCAAAACTTCCAAACATTCCCAAATTTGTAGTACCTAAATCTAGAAAAATACATTTCATTTGTTGTTTGTTTTTCTATTATTTTCAATAAAGCCTCCAATGTATCACATTTTTCTTCATTGGAATAACGCAAAGCGTAATTTTTTCACTCAACGCCATGACATCAATAAGCTTTTACAAAAATTTTATAATAGTTTCGAAAAATTATGCGGTGTTGCCACATTTACTAAAAATATTGAAATATTGAATTTTGAGGTTATTTTTGCATTTTTTTCTTATTTATATCAATGAAAAGCCAAAAAAATTATCTATTTGCTCAGCTTAAAATTCAATATGGCGCCCTTGAGAAGAAAGAAAATTGATGATGGTTTCTCGCAACCGAAACGTCGCAATGAAGATCAAAATGAACAGTGAAATTCCTCGAAAAAACTTGCTACAAAAACGTGTTTTCGGATTTTAAAAATTCTAAATAAATTTACATGCGATTTTCGAAAACGCCACATTTACTTTTCTTCAAAATAACTCAAAAGCTTGAGCTAGGACCACACTGTATATAAAAAAAACTTTCGACTCACCTTTTTCTCCAGCTGCTTCTTCAGCCCGACCAGCTGCTCCAGGTCGTCCTCGTGCTGCTGCTGTAGTCGCCTCTTGGTGAACTCCAACTCCTTGACGGCTCTCTCGTAGCGTTGCTTGTAGACGCCGTCGCCGTCCGCGTCCTCGTCTTCCTCGGAGATGCCGTTCAGGTCGGAGCGGGCGTACAGCAGCTCCATCTCCAGCCTCTCCGAGGCCTGCTGCAGTTCCTTATTCTTGTGCTGCACCTCGGACAGCTCGCGCTCGATCTTCACCCGCTCCGACGCCTCGGCGTCGAGGCGCTCGGCGGCCAGCGTCGCCGTCGAGTGCTCCTCCGCCAGGTCGGCCGTCATCTCGCTCAGCTGAAACGAAAGCACGAAGCGTTAAACGAAAGGCTAGGCTCACGGGGATTTATAAATTTTAAGATTAAATAGTTTAAATAAAGAGGAAAAAAAACTTCAGGGAATTGTAAAAAATGAATCCTGCGTGCGTTTCCCTCAAAGTTACTAAACTTTCACTAAATAATTTTCAGATATTTTTAGGTATTCCAAGTAGATTTTTAAAATTTTCCAGTTTGCCAATATATACGCGTACACAGGGTGTTTCCGGAATAAGTGCGTTCGGTGATAGCAGAGGGCACGAAAATGAACAACATTTATTAAGCAATTGATGGTCTAAATGCCTGTTTTCGAGAAAATTAACCATAAACATAAGTCGACTCTGTGCATCTTGTGCAGGTGCACGTGCACTGCCAGTTTAACAACCTGTATCTTCAAAACGAAGTATCTGCGGACCAATGTTTATATGAACTTTTTGTCTTAAAATCATTTAAATAATAATCGTCTGTTGAATTTATTGTACATACTTAATTAACACCCTATATATCAAACTTTGATATTTTTTTGCTAATGTAAAAAACTGATAAATAATAAGATTATATTGCTACTGTACTTTTTTACTTATAAAAAATACAATATTCTAATAAAGACGATCACAAAATAATAAAAACTGAGCTAAGGTCGATAATAATACATATAGTTTCATTAAACAAATGAAATTTGACAATGGTAATCAATTTAAAATGATTTCACATAATTAATTAGTGGTTAGGCACCGAATAATGATGAACGACATAGTCGCGCACTTATATTTTATGGCAAATTTTCCACTTGTTATAAATATCAATGATATATATCAGAATTTAAATATCATGATATAGCTACATCGTTATTATATCGTTGATATATACCGAGAGATCCAGAATGATTGAAGCTTTTGGGGAACGCAGCCTGTTTCTAACACTATATTTAGCATATAAAAATCTGTAGTATTGATAGAGACAGGTACAGGCTGCGATCTCCAAACACTTCAGTCATTTTGAATCTCTGTATATCCTTCGAACCCTAAATCTGATGGTAGGTCAATAGTATGTGAGTTCGTTATTTGTGTGTTGTAGTATTACTTAGCTTTTGCACTGGGGCGCGCGGCAACTTTGATATCAAATGTACAGCTGGCTGCCGCACCAGGAATTTGTTTAAATCTTGATTTGAAAATTTTATACCATCAATTGCTTAATAAAATTTATATAATTATGTATATAGACCATCTGGGAGTGAATGAATATGATATATTATTTGACACAGGAGAGGTTCATTTCTTTTTTAACATATTTTTTTGTTGGTAGAGCGCAGATTGGCAAAAATGTACATATTTTGTAAATGTCTCCCATTTAAATATTTCACATTTATAATATTTAAGTACGGTTATTTAAAACATTATAGAGGTTGCTATAAAATTTTCACCAATAAGAAATAGTTTTATTTATATTGTCGAAAAAACTTTTTCTTCTACTAAAATTTGTTTGTCTCAGTACCAAATAAGAGATATCTAGATGTACAAAGAGATTTTTAGTTTAGGAGCAAATGACATATTATTCAGTTAAAATTAAAAAACAATATAACATACAGAGTGTCCCATTCTACTCGATCACCCCGAATAACTATGGAGGATGACCTTCAATTGAAAAACTCCCAGAACAAAAGTTGTAAGGTAAGGTTTTAAGGAAGCCGTACGATAATGACCTTGGTTTTGACCTAGAGGTCAAACTTGGGGGTCATTTGGAGGTCAACTTCAGAATTTCAAATAGAAATCCTAATCGTTTTGTCCAGAAATGGGAAGAGCAAGAAATTTTACGTTTTTTTAAATTCAAATGAATGGAAATCGAATTATATTCTTAGTCTTAGTGGGACATTGGTGAGAATTAAATTCTGCATACACATTTGACATCTAGTGGCAGCAGGTTGTAAATAAAGGCCGGTTACAACTGGAATGAGAAAAAAATTCCCTGACATCTTGACATTCCCAAATCTACGAATTTCTGCGCGAAACTGGAAACAACAGCGAGCCTACACACATCGTCAGATGGCTATGGCTAGTCATTTGTTCGTCATAAAAACAAGCGAAACATCTATAAACGTCGCAGGTGTCACGCTAAATCGCTCCCAAAAATACCGGGCTATTTTTGCATTCCTTTACGTACGGATAGAAAAAAATAAAACACAAACAACGTATCGATATAGTCGACCCATTTTTTTAAAGATAGTTGCCGTTCCTCAATCCAACACGGAAACGATTATCATTTTTTCTATTTTCGAGTTGCATAGAGGTCGGGCTCCGATGTTTCGGACATAATTCTGGCAGATGACCAAGGATCCACCACTAATTATCAGGCGGTCTTATTTATGAGATATATTGTTACGATTTAAAATGAAATTTAACCCGGTTAAAAAGGTTATGCGCTGAGGGAACCGTTGCCAAAAAACAGCGAGGCGAAGTGAAACTATTGGGAAATTATGCATATTCACAAACAGTTCTGTTAAATTTGACGCAAACCCCGAACCGACCTTGGATCCATGACGTCACAAAATGCACTGGCTGTATTTTTTTTTTAAATAAAAACTGCTACTCGTAATTATGTTGAGGTCTATTTTCGTTTCAAATTCATAACAAAAACGAGTAGTATTACTGTATTTACTGTGAACTAAAATTCTTGTGTGTGATCGTGTACAGGGTGTTCGCGGCACTCCAATGGTTTTGAAGTAGGAAAAAGTTCCATTTTTTTTGTCGACTTAATAAAAAATTATATCATATTTTAGAGGCTGCACGTTTTTCCAGTCGCACCACGGGAATCTCACTTATTTTAAGAGATACAAATTAGGGAAATGTGTGAAATTTGATGACGAGTAACTTTGATTTGACCTATATTTGTTTATTTCGAAGTTATCGACGAAAAACTACAAATTTTATTTTAATTTTTTTAATAGTACTTAAACGAAATGACCTGAACTTTTTAAATATTTAATATTTAAATTGTTAAGAGACTTTTTTATGGGAAATTCAATGTAGTCGTATTTGCCGTGGCAACGAAATGCAGCTTTTGTTTTCCTTATGGGCTTTATTTGTTATTTCAGATATTTTTTTTGGTTACGATGATTTGTCATATGATACGATTATGTTTTTGTCAAAATACCAAATTATCAATTTTTACAGAGATCTTTGAAATTGAAACAGCCAACTATCAGATCAAACGAAATTTCGGCAGATCTGATAATTTTCAGTGAAATGGCAAATAGCATAGATTACTTAATTTAAAGAAAAACTGGCTTTGTTTCACGTAAAAATTGCATTTTTAATTATCTAAACCAAGGGTCGGCAACTGGCGGACCGCGGTCCAGGTCCGGACCGCGGAAGGTAAAATACTGGACTGCCAAAAAATTTTTTAAAGTATAAAAATTGCTCAAATAAATTATTTAAAAAATGTTTTTTACGTTTAAGTGCCAATCTTATCATTTTTTCTAGTATTTTACAATTGTGTGTGTTTTGAGTTCTTAATGGTTAGTAAGCAGATTAAATTTGAGTCCAAATTAAAATAAAAAATAAGAAATGTGAATTTTTTTTATGGACCTCGTTAAAAATTTTCAAAAGTATCCGGACCCCACCTAAAATTACTTGCCGACCCCTGAATTCTAAACCTTGACATTTTCAATGAAAATTTAACCAAATTGTCAAAAACGTGTTTAAACTAATAATAGGATGTTTTGTTTTCAAACCACTATTTGTAAAAATGGACAATTTATTATTTTGGTAAAATGTATCTCTTAAGGTAACCGAGATACGAGTGAGGCTCGAAAAAACGGGTACCTTTCGGAAGATGATCCCTTTGACCATTTTAAGAAGAAAAATTCGTATGAAGCTGTGTTGTTTAGTTGTGTTGAGAGATACAGCATATTGAAATTAAAAACAAAAATTTTTTTTTTCAAATACTTCTAAAGACGTAGACTGATAGGCACAAACAATCTTCACCTAGTGATTTTACTGAATACAGGTAAAAATTAATTGTAAACAATTATACCAATATATGGGGTAGATACTATCACTAAAAATCAGGATTTCGAAGCCACTGAGTATTATATAAATACAGTGTTCAAGAACTATATATAAAAATTCTAACAACGGACTTATCGAAAGCAACAATTTTTATTTAATAATTTTTTCTAAATCTAATTGGTTTTTAAGACATAATTTTAGATTTTTATTATTACCCGCCAATGGGGCTTAGTTGAGTTAATAAAAAATAAAAAAGAAGCACAACATATTGGAACTAATTAGTGCCTGGTATACATATAGTATTTAGGTTAGTAAAAAATCTTAAGATCATCAATCATTCCATAAATCATGCATACTTCAATGTTTTGAGTTTTATATATAATTTATTTCTATTAATAGTTACTAATTCCAACTGCAAGAACACGACTTGAGCAAAAAAAAGCAAAATGCTAAAATGGCAAGATCTTGTCTATCGGGGCTGATTTTTATGAATTAATTATATTTAGACATATACAGGGTGGTCCGTTCAAGTTTCAAAAAAACTTGTGTGCAAGTTGCTCATAGAAAAATAATGGGGGGGGGGGGTAGTTCATATGACGTTTTTTTTCTTAGACGCTTGTGTTGAAGTTGTTATCTTCCAAATGGTTTTCCTAAATTCTCTTTAAATCGGCTAGAGATAAAAATTTCAAAATTTGTACACGAGTAAACATCAACTGGACTTTAAGAATAATGTGCAAAGGGTTTCTTTCTGAAAAGCAGTGTCGCCGATACAGGTAATTGGAGGGGTACAATCGAAAAAAAATTTTAAATGTCAAAATTTGTAACATTTCTAAACGGTTTTGTAAACTCTAAAGCATACTACAAAAAAAAGTATACCTGTCGAAATTCGGTAGCATGTACCATTTTCAAGAAAATTGAAGTTGCATCTTTTTGCTCACATAAAGCGGCAGAAGTACATTACCATTGAATGAGTTGA